TCTCCTTACTTCACTGATGCATGCAGTTAGTGCTCAATTTAATCCAAACATATGTATACAAGTATAGTGCTATAAAATAAAAAAAAAAATAAGTATAAAATAATTAAATAAAAGTCTCTTTTGGGTTTATAAATTTCTAAAGGTAACTTTTTCAATGCCAAAAAATATATTTAAAGATTTTGTTATATTTTTGAGAAATTAATAATTATACTAAACATCTTTAATATCTAATCTCACGGGCTTATGAATGTTTTTAATATAATTTTAAATAATTCGTGGCAATAAAACAATCAAAACAGCTTAGTTCAAATTAAATTGTAATAAATTTTGATAACGCTACTTATTTTTTATATCAGGTACTGTTCTCATTCGCTTAAAATTAAATACCAAATTTAATCTCCCTTCATATTAAACTATTTGTATATTATATGTAATATATATTATATTAGGTAAATCCTCATCTACCTGCGATATTTTAAACTTCGCCAAAGGTTTTAGGTGAATAATTTCCATATATACACGGTCTATGTAGATTCCCTAGGGATCGATGGTATAACCTAACCCACGACGCACCCATGATTTCTGGCTTAGATAAACCTAGCCCACTACGTAAAGCCCCTCGCTCATATCGCTCTGGAAACTGGAATGAAGTTTCCACAATGCGATTGAAATCTTTTCTATTCATTCGTAAGAGGTGGTTTTAGCAGGTTAAAGTCTGACACTGAAACGAATCAATAGTGATTGATAGTTCATCTTAAACAAAGAAAAGTTAATATCGACAATTTAAAAACATATATTGCTGATGAAATTAAAATTTTTTAATTATAAAATAATTTTTATTTTATTTTTTTAATGAATAATAAATAAAATCGTTAGAAACATAAAACAATATAAAATACTTTTTTCTGTTTTTTGAAACGAACGATTAGTTCACACTCTAATATTCTGAATTTTAATTTATCGAACCGCTTTAAAAATTTTTATTAACACTACTGTAAACACTGCTTATTAAATTCTTAAGTTTACAAAAATTGCTAAATAAAAATATTTCAATAATATACTTTATAAAAAAGCCAAAAATAATTACATTTAACTATTTCACTGCAATAAACATTTTTACTAGCCCGTATCGATGGATTAGATAATGGCCGATGCTCCAACTCAATGCATTTGCGGTTCACAGCTGCAACTTTTTGGTAATTCAACTTTTTAAAGAATGAACATAAAAAGTTTTGGACAAAACTCTATAAATTGTTATAATGAATGCAATTCCTTAGAAATAAAAAACTTCAATTGTTTTTTTTATGAGTAAAGTTTAAAACAGTATGCCATTAACCTTCTACTTTAAACATTATTGATGTATTGGGAAAAAGTAAACTTTTAGTCCATTTAAGTTGAACGATTTCTTGAAGCACTTTTAAATATTTCATCAAAATATATATCTTAACCTAGTCTTTTAAAATGTTTTCATCAGACGTCATATTGTGAAAATACTAAAGATATGGAGAGGTTAATAAAATTCTACCTACATGGCAAATCAGAATAATTTTTGGACAAATCAAAAAATGCCAACTGAATTGAAATTATCTCTCGGCAATTCATTTGAAATTTCACAACAACCAGTCAAAATGGAAACAAGAAAACCCACAGTTAATCACAAAGAGTTGGGGAAAATCCTTCCCAGCACGCTATACGATTTGCCGTTCTCTACGATTTTCGAAGTAATCTTAACCCCGTGGAAATATTTAATATGAACCAAATAGCATATGGAGAAAAAAGTTAAGTTTTTTATTCGAAGTGAGATTCCAGATCGGATCTTTATCTATGGAAAATCAGTCTTACGCGGTTTGCCCAAGATTTTTAAATTATAAGTGGAATACAAAAATAGTAAAAATTTAAGATTAACCGAGAAAATGATTGCTGATGAACTGGACTTGTCGCGAATATTAAGTAATTATCTGCGATAAGGAAAAAATCAGAACGATGGATTCGTCGAGTTTTAATCAAAGTCCAAAAATATGTGCGGTTGTTCAATATTTTCTTTCAAAATTTACAAATATATGTTTCAATACTTTTTATAAAATTGCCCCAAAATGAGGCCTAGATCTACAAGTACGACTCAGAAACAAATTAACAGTCGATGGTAGGGAGCTTAGAATGAGCTAATCCACCCGTTAAAGCCAAACAATAGAAGTCAGCAACAAAAATAATTATATCACTAGAAAAAAAATTGTGGCTGTTATTACTCTAAATACTGCATAAAGCTTGTTTATCACAAGTTAAAAAATTTATTAAGAAGCCAGGAAAAAAACAATATTTATTTAAAATTTTATTTTACTATATATTCTACAAAAGATATCATCTGCATCACAATGTCGCAAATTAAAAATTTAAAAAAAGTTTTTAAAATACTGAAAATACATAAGATTTATATATACCATAATGTATACCATAAAAACCATGTTAAAAATAAAAGAATTGTATGGAAATGTAACAGAAACTGTAATTAGTTAATTAAATTATGTATAGCTGTGTTTTATGCTTTCGTTTAAAAAAAAATTACTAAGCGAATTTGTTCATGAATATTAAACAACAAATTGAAAAGAGTCCAAATAAGAATAACACATTTATTTATTATTATTATTTTTTTTTGTTGTTCATTTATTCTTTAATAGTTCCACATACCAAGTATAATAAGCAATGTAATTAATTAGATAAGATAAATATTTTGCTCACGTGTATAATACAATTTCATATATCATAAAAAAAATGATATATAATTTTAAATATGTTAATATTTTTATTATATATTTACATATGTAAATATTATTAAAAATAATTTATATTATTTATTATATAAAATTTATGATTTTGATACAATATCGTCTGCCAAATGCCGCTTATCAATTATATTTTCTGTATTTAAGTGCATATTTTAAAAACGTTATAAAGCATTCAAGTTTATTATTTGAGACATAAATGGGGCTATTTGTCTTCGAAGCTTCAGCTAGCAAATATTTGAGGAGAGGATCAATAAAAGATGCAAATTAACATACTTTTCGAGAACCAAGTGGACTTTTTAACTTTAAGTCAGATTAGGTTAATAATTCGCATGTTGATCAAAGTTGACTGGGAGAGTCAGTTTACAATAAGCGTTGTTGTATCTATGTATTAATTTTGTTAAATCATTTAATCTACCAGATAAAACTGAGCAGATCCGACAAGTCCACTCTCTGCGGTCCGACAATTGATGTCTAAGACATTGAAATCGCTTTTTTTTTAGTCTAGGGATAAGACATGCAGAGCAATTAATAGATTCCATCTCTTGTTTTTATTGCAGGTACTTTATTGCAAGTACCTATCACTTTGTGGTAGGTTTTTGGATATAAAAAGTATGTAGGCCACGATATAATTGATTAAATTATCAAACGAATGTAGATCAAATGATAATTAATTGAAATGGAACCAATGTCAAAGTGGCTCATTTTAGAAATACTTAAGGAGCGAAAAGTATCAATTTAAAATCTATTAGTTGGTCTGTAAACAACAAAAACAAATTAAAAACTTCAACTTGTCCACTGGAATTTAATGCATAAAAAAATCTTTATTAACTGAGCAGAGTTAACTGAGCTAACTGAGATTCCTAATAGTTCAGGTGATTAAGGGATCATCAGAACAAAATTAGCCTTTCATATAATAATTTTTATAGCTTCTGTAAAATGGATATTGAAACTCGTGAACATATTTATACGAGTATTCTATGGTATTTAAAACTAAGAACTATAAACCAGCAGACTTGTCCATCTTGGAAAGAGATTTCTTTCCTCTCATAACTTATGAAACAGGACAATTCAATTTTATACTCTAACATCCATTAAACACTAAACAATTATTAAAATAGTTAAAGTGCTTAGTATTCCTCAGTTACTTATATATAATTGAAATGTTAATAAATCAATATTCCTTTCCCTTTATAATGATGATATATAAGTTAGATACTTTTAGATAAAAATGCCGATGTTTTCTTGAAATTGGATTGAACAACTTACTAGAAATGGTATAGGGGTCATCACATTAATGTTTTGGGTTTACTTTCTTTGACAGTGCATTCGTTACTGAAATGGTTTTTAAATTGATTTTTAACATCTGTTTTAAACTAAATTCCTTATATAGACTATTGTTTTCAATATTATTTTTGAGGTATTTTGAACAGTAGTCAATTACAACAAACAATTCTTATTTTTACTTAATGGTCTTGAACTTATTTCTTATATTTAAATGCTTTTTGGAAACTTTTTGAAATAAAAAGAATTTTTAAGTTTTGTGCTATATGTTATATTATATTTTGTGTACATTTATTTATATAATTATTTTGTATACAAAAATTTTAAACATTTCGAAGTTTATTTACTTTTCATCAGGTCCGGAAGCTATCAAATCTAATCATTGAATTAGGATTTGTGGTGGAACAATACTAAAAATGTTACTTTAAAATATTATTTTATTTTTAATTGTAAGACTTAAGCTTTGTTTTGTTATCACGTTGCGGAGCTATTTGTTTAAATAGAGTAATAATAATATTTGCTGTATTTAAACAATATTGCGGACATATAATTGAAACTATTCACTTTTTCACTTTGATGACTGTGACTAAGCACTTAGTGAATGTAGGTATAGTTTCATGTGTCAAAGAAGATGTTCACTTTTCGCTTATCAATCTCTTTCATTAATTGAAATGAAATTCCTATTAATAATTATGGGATTACCTGCGTGATATGGAGGATTAGAGATCAACTAATTTCCCTCAAGGTTTCGCTTTCATTTTATAAACGCAATTGTCTGCTTTAAATGTTATTTATATGTACACACAGATATATTTATGTTTAAAGTACCAGTGAGCGTATTGTTCGTAGCTACCTCAGTACAAGCAGCTAAAGTATGATAAATAGATACATAGATACATTCACTGTAGCCCAGTAATTGTACTTACAGAAGCCAAGATGAGTGTGTAAAATTGTGTACGCTTAAAATTGTCGCACATCAGACAACAAATAAGCCGGCAATCGTCAGACAGCCAGCACAAGTTTTACTTTAATAATTCACAACTTGATTCACTGAGCTCTGCTATTCATTTCGAAGGTATCTGTCAGAGCTGGCGGTTGTTGGCTTCTCAACGGAACTGAGCTTCAACGTTAATTACTAAAATTAAACTGAAAATAATTAAAAATTTTAAATATAATGCAAACTAGTGAAAACTAATTAAAGTGTCAGTTTCGTATGTGAAAAATCATAAAAGAATAGAGTATCGCTTAAAAAGTTAAGGAAGCAAAGTTAATATAAACGCGTTCCAACAGAAAGCATCCATCAAATGCAATAACGCAACCAACGGAAGCAAGTGGAATTTTTTTTCGAAGTTATGTGTTAACAAACGATAATAAGAGTTTTTGAAAAAATTGGAAAAATTTATAATTCATAATTTATAAATTTTAAATAAAAACCGACTTAATGAAAAACAACAACGCAAAATCGGTGCAATCATTTAGGTATTTCCTTTATTGGTGATTATTTGTTGGGAACTCATTAGATTATTCCATTGTTTGCAATGCATATAATCTACGCTTAATAACAACAACTTTACTGCATAGTTTAGTACAACAAATTATGAATTAAAATAAGGCACTTATTTCGAATAGAGTTCCGATTTTGTGTTTTTACAAATTTTGTGTTAATTAAATAGAGAAAAAAATTTAAATATCAAAAGACCGCTCCTGCTTACAACAAAGTATTAAATCTAATTTCTAATCTAATTAAAATCCAAATTAATTAAATCGGTCAAGCACACAAAATGAGAGGGTGCCACACATTTTTACTATTCACAGCTATAGTATTATTTTGCGGTAAGTGCAATTAAACTAAAACTATGACAAATACGTCATAATTACATCTACATTTCACAACTAACATCTAATTTAAACGAACAAAAAAAATTTCATTTAAAATTTTTTAACATACTTTATTTAGAAAGAAATCAATATTTTGGTTAGATGATAAATGGGTACGTTTTCGATTTCCCAGGCACGCCCATTAATAGTTATGAAAGCAGCTCTTACAAAACCCTAAAGAAAGCTTGACCTAATCAACTGTTTCTACATTTGGATTTTGTTTTTATTATGCATATATCCATATCCGGTCTAATAACTCGGAGCTTTGAGTTCCATAAAAATTAGTCTGATTACGAAAGAAAATAAATTCTAAATATAAACTGTAGCCTTCAATAAGTTTTTATTAGAAGTGAAAAAAAAATTTTTTCCAGTTAATCCAAAATATTGTCGAAGATATTATACTTTATGTTCTCTCCTCTGGATAGAGAGGTTAACGTACCCCATAGATGTCTAAGAATTCGGAGTTATTGCCTGCTATACAGTCCTTTATATGCTAAATTCACAAAAGAATTTATTTTTTGGATTTAATACAAGATATTTTATTTTAGCTTCTTTCGTCTGGATGAAAGTGTTATTGTAACCCAGAGAGGTCATAGAGATTTATAATATGCAGTCCTCCTTTATAAGCTAATTTAACAAAAAAAAAAACTTTCGGGAAGTTACTACAAGATATTTTACCTTGGGCTATCTTTGTTTATCAACAGTTTTCTTGAGCATTTCTTAGACCTCTCGATTAAAAATTTGTTTATCAACAGTTTTTTAGGCATTAGTTTCTTCTCCTACTGATATATTTTTTAATAAAGTAGAATCTTAGGCTTACCATAACGCTGTTTTGGATACCACCAACTTTCTGTTATCAATGTTTGCGGAGCACAACTATTTGTTTAATTAGTTTTTGGACTGCTAATTTCAGAAAGCGCATCCATATATGTTTAGACAGTAGACTTTTCAGTCTATTCAAAATATATATCTTGACATTAGATATACAAATTTTGTTAAGAAATTTAACAATATTATTTAACGTCTGATAAATGATATAAAGTACCTTAGTATTTATAAAATTGACGTGAACATGGTTAGTTCAAGAGGAAGAAGGAACTGAGGAACTGATTTGAAATTGCATCATCAAATTTATTTATTGTTATGGTATAGAACTATGGACTTCAGCATGCGTAATTAGTTATTAAATACAGAGAATTTAAACTTAATTATTCAAGCAAATACTTTGTGTTCAATGATAATTATAAAGCTTACTTGAATTAGTCACATCGAGGGAAATTTATTCATAATTTCATCAAAAAATTTATTTTGTGCTATATTATAACTCTATGGAGTTTAACGCGCCATAGTTTTATTTAAACTATGGAGTTTAAATATCAAATACAGAGAATTTAGAGTAAATTATTTAGGTAAATATTTGGTACTAAATGGTACCCAAACTTTGTTTATGTGATGACTAGACGAATATGATTATTCCAATTTGGAAAACGAATAACGAATTTTTCAAATAGTTCTAAAGTCCTATTTGATGTCATTAAAATTCGCAGTGCGTTTTTTCGTACTTAATGTTGGAATACTAATATTTAAGTAGTAGTTGTTAATTACTTAATCAATTATAAAAAATAATTCTAAAAATAAAAATAATTATAGCAAATCGTTTTAAATGCACTGTTTTGGAAAGCCTTTATACACTTTGATAAAGTCTTTTGGAAAGACTTTAACCACATATGGTTTATTTATCATTGAATTTACAAATAATCTTATTAATTATTTCTAAGAAATCTTATTACTCGTATTAATATAAGAAAATGTATAACTCTAAACCATACATTTGCATTATTAATATTATATTTTAAATTGGAAAAACACATTTTTAAAGATAGAAAACGATAAAGTATATTAAAATAGTTGTTCTATATTCTATTTTGACATGAAACTTTGGTGGTAATCTAAACCAGTGCATTTAGACCATCTGTTTTTGACTGTACTCCGATGACACCAAGTGTTCATCGTTGATAGTTTTTGATAAGAATTTTAACGAATGGTTTTGCTCAAACACACCTGACTCATGTGATATTGGCCCAGAGTGACTCTTTTCTAGTCCCTAAACTAAAATAATCATTATATGGAAGATGTTTCAATCTGATTGTGGCCAAGAAAAAATCGATAAAAAAATTGAAGACAATAACTTAATCAGTGTACAAAAAATATATGTAGGATTGGATCAAGTTCTGGTATAACTCTTTGCACACGATTAAATCTAATTCGGAAACTTAATCAGTGTACAAAAAATATATATAAGATTGGATCAAGTTCTGGTATAACTCTTTGCACATGATTAAATCTAATTCAGAGAAGACGAAATAAATTTTGATTGACTGATCATTTTTTATACCCAAGACACAAAAAAGGTGTAAAAACGATGTATTATTACAGTTTATTCAGATATTTGTAACGCATTGAAGGAAACTTCGTAGCCGCTATAAAGTATATATGCACTTATTCAACAAGCTAAGTTCATTTAGTCTTATTCGTCTGTCTGTTTTATCCGAAACTATTCTCACAGTTTTCGAATAAAACTTAACACACACATTTTTTGGAAGTAGTTCAAATCATTTGTCGGATTGAAGAAATTATATACATTATATCCTTTAGATGTTGCATAAACTAAATAATTGGATATGAGTTAAGTTTGTTTTTAAGACATTCAAATTAAATTCGGCACAGAATATACTTATATTCATATGAGAGAATATACAAAATTTTATTCATATCAAGTATAGCTGCCATATGAACAAGCGATTTAGTCACAGCTTTTTGTTAGAAAAACCTTTTTATTTTCTAATTTATTTTCTAATTTTAAATGTAATTTATAAAATGTGATTTATGAACTGTGAGAAGATTCTGAGTTCGCTAACGTAAACCCTTTTGTGCTTCAGCAAATCTGCACTTCATGCACTTACTGGAATACTAACGGGGTACGGTGCCATTGCGCCTATACTTCAATGGTGGCGAGTTCCAACAAGTGAATTATGCAAGAGTTGCTAAGATGAAGAGGAGGTAGAATTTATCAACCACTTCCTGTGTCTCTGTTCAGGACTGCAGACAAGGCGACTACAATATCTTAGGGATTCACTGGTCTGGCAGAGATAACGAAAGCAAACTTATCAGATCTCTTTAATTTCATCTGGAAAACGAAATGGTTTAACAAGGATAGTACACGAAGATAATAAAGGTTAGCAACTCCCCTCTTCCGGCAAAATCTTTGACGGCATTACAATGGGCAATATATGCCTCCGAGTGAAAGTGTTGGATAACTGTCAGCACGCGCCTTCTTAACCTAACCTATAAAATGTAACGATTTAAAAGAGTACATAAGCTTCAGCAAAGCGAAAGCTAATATCATTATTTGTTTACGTTATGCTTATTAATGCCAGATAATTTCCATAGAAAATATATTTTTGTGCTAAACTAAGCACCACCTCCGTAAAGCTGAGGAATTTACTTTACTTCCCATATGAATTTATTTTAATAGAACAATTCCTATGCAGTCTGGCATTTTCTATTAACATATCAATTAAATTTAGTAAATGATGTTCAAGGTTATTGAGAGTACTGTTAAATACATTTTACCTTAAAATATCTGTAATTATATTGTATCATAAATACAGTTCATAAAATTAATTGACACTTTCTTAAAATTTTACTGATTCAGTAATGAACCTAAATATTTGTTTAAAGTTATTAAAAAATCTTTCTGTTTTCCCACAAAAAGTCATACCAACATTATCTACAATATGAGTAAATTAAGTAATGCATACACACTTGAACCAATATGTATCTTTACTTATACGAATATGAACATGAGCTCATGAAAATATTGGGCTTAAAGATATTAGGTAACCGCAATAGATACTTTATGTCCGCCAACTACACTTACTTTACCAATATGGCAGATTGGTAATTTATATCACTGTGAACAATACCTTCATTTATAGTAGTGCAAATTGTTAATTTGGTAGTTTGAAGTAAACACAAAACCATAAAAATAAAGTTGTATCTCTTGACCACATTTATTGTGGTTTGTTGAAGCGTATTTCAATATTTACAACAAAATAATATTGCGAAAATGTTAGGTTTTATTTACAATGTGAATTTAGTTGAGAAGAGATTAATATTCCATTCAATATTCAGAAAGTAATTTATTTACAGGAAACAATTTATAAAAATTAATTTAATTAATTAAAAAAAATATTTTCATATTTTTGTTTTTAAAAAGAAATGAATTGATTTATTTACCAGATGAAATTTTTTAAATGGAAAAAATCAAAATCACCGCAAATATTTGGAAAAATTTTATCAATTTATCAATCAACTCAAATTGATTTTAATAAATGCACAAAATATAAAATTAAAAAAAGCATTGTATCTGATGAAAAACACAAAAGGACAAAGTAATTAAGCTTAAAAATATAAATTCAAAATTTTTTTAGTCTAAAATAAAATTTGAACTGTCAAAACTAATGAAAAAAATGTCAACGGCAATCAAAATTCATCAAAAGAATTTAACTAATAAGTACAGTGATTTGTGCTTTATAAATATTTAAATAAGAAAATTGTTTGATTATTTTAATAGCGTGTATTTTACTAATTTTTAGCGCTTTTATCAAATTTTTAATTTAAATAATTTCACACGAAACAACTTAATTTGTTCAAAATGTTGAGTGATTGCACGAAATGCTTCTTGTCAGCTGCCGTTTGAAGTCACGCAATTTCCCTGACAAAATACACAATTTAACTGTTATTATTTATAAACTAATTTAATCAGAAAGGAAATTGTAAATAAAATTAAATAAACACACAAATTGAAATTAAATAAATCATTTGAATAAATACTAAAAATTAATTTGATTGACTTGAGAAATCATTACTTTCAGTGTAGTGTAAATACAATC